GGTTTTCCTGTATAGTAAGTTGTTGAAGGTCCGGCAAGCCCAAGGGCACAGCGGTGTAGGAATAATAATATATCGTTAGCCTTATGCAGTAAACAGACCTCTTATGATGGCGTGTTCAATGGAGCCACTATGCTATTGCACTAACCTCCTCAAAAGGATGCCAGAATTCTAAGTCTAATGACTTGAAAAGCTGAGATGGCTTATGTACTGTTAACAGCAGCCTCTACTGCCATCACACCTCTAATCAAAGGAGAGTTATCTCGTACATCATAGCTATTATAATCTTAGCGAGCTAGTCCATAAGAGCTAACGTTAGTTTAATAGCTAATAACATGACTCTTACAGTAATAAGTATTAATTGCGACTTAATGTTAGCTTCTAAGAGATTATATTATCACAGGATTTTTAATTTCTAGTCTCATGGTTATATTATATACCAGCAGTCATATACATGTCATAAGAGTAACTATAACGTGTAACGTGCATTATCAGCGAGTGCACCTGTTGGAAGTGAAGGCACTTGAGACTCGGAAACTGGGTTGCCGGTATCGTACTCTGGTCAGGGGTAATACACAGCCGTTACATAAGGTCTAAGGGGGACCCAGGCAACTTGGAGAAGGAGAAGGACAGAACCTCAATTGACAGATTCTGGGCTGGTCCCGGGCACTCGAAAAGTTCACTGTTTCAAGGGCTCCCATAAAGCGTAACACCGTGGAATCGTGGCTGTTGGCTTTCCAACAGCACCACTTATCAAGTTTTGGTGGGACTGTGCGCAAAATACTGTATGTTTTTAAAGAAGGTTAGGGCTCTGTCGTTTTTTTAACACATTTTGCGCACAGTCCCACCAAGCCTAGATAAAGTGGTGCATTCCCTGTTGGAAAGCCAACAGCCACGAATTTACCGCACCGTAGTAATTGGGCACCAAAAGGATGGGCAACCACTTAATTGATGATGATGCTCGCTCTCCTGTTGTTCCAAAAGTTGCCCCGTCTCCTCCTGATGCTGAAAATCGTGGTGCCAAGCCATTAGTCACCACCGAACTGCCCTCCCTGACCACCTGCCAAATCCAACAAGTCCCTCCCATCCAGCAGTCCGGAACTCACCTTTCCGGCTTGGTGACGTCGAAGCTGTGGGCGGCCATCCGGCCGTGTTCGTCACTTAGCTGCATAACTCGCGCTGCGCGCTTGCGGCTCCAACATGGCATTAGAGCCCGGTGCGCTTCTTCCTCCTTTTCTCCTTTTTGACGCCCTCCGGGCTTCCAGTCCCTTCACACCTTCGCCTGGGTCTTCCTCTGCCCCCTCACGCTCCAGCTCCATCAAGAGCCTATACTCAGCCAGTCTCCCAAGGCTCATGAGCCAGGTGACTATCCGCGTTGCGCTGGAGCAGTTTCCAAGCGTTCTCATCAGGTCGTGCCTGTCTCTGAGCTGGGGTCTCCCGTCTTTGAGCTCTTGACCTTGGCATCTTAGCACAAGGCAGGTGGGCCACCGTCTCCGGGGCCCTCCCGCAGCGGCAGAGCGGCCGAGGCACCCCAGGGACTCGCATTTTAAAGAAGTCTTTTATGCCAATTGCTCCCGTGCGAGTCCCGTGCGAGCCTGTGTTAGCAGCGAGCTCTTCGCCTCGGTCAGCCCTTTGTGAGCTTGCAGTGGTTGTGCTGCAGGATCGAGCATATAGAGATCGGCTGCTCCTCTGTAGCAGCGTGGGCGTAGCGTGTCGGTGCGCTCTGTTTGCCTTTCCCGACGAATCTTCCATTCCTCGATTGTAGGCAGGTCAGCGTCCAATTCTTCTGATAAATCAGGACTGCCAATTAGCAGCTTAACAACTTGAAGGTGCATAAGCCCTTGGCCGTCCACCCGTTGATCAAGTCAAGAACATTGATCATCTTAGAATGTAACAATGCTCGAAAAGTTGGCGTGTAAAACAAATGCAGGTTCTCTCCTACTGCACATAAGTGTCACCCAACGATTTACAGAATCCATATCAGAAATTGCGGGACGTCTTGGTGACCTTTATCCAGCTCCTAGAAAAGCTGCTGCAGACAAAAGCCCAGGGAGTTGACCCGGTTCCAGCGTTGAAACCTCAATGTACGGTTCTCATCTTAATACCACTCTCCTGATCATAACAATAGGAACAAGCAACTCAACCCGGCTCGGGCGGGAGTATCGGACGAGTGTGAAGATACCTACGTCATGCGTCAACTCAAAGATGCTCTACAACCTTACCAAGATCTGAAAATACCCCGACCTAGGTAGCAGTCATCGTGGATTCCATCTGTGGGGCGTTGCCGGCGTAGTAGCCGATCTTGAAACCGGCTATTTTAGCTGGGCACCTCCGGTCCTAACAAGGAACTCGGGGAGCGGCTCCCGTCGACTCCTGTCTGAAACAGATTACCCAGATCCACAGCCTGGGGTCCCGGCTAAAAGGGCATAATTGTTTACCCCGGACGATGCTCCGGCAGCAGCAGTACATAAGGTAATATCATGAAGTTAGAGATCTGCTCAAGCAGCGGTAGCAAGCAAGGCACCTAGGATTCGAGCTTGTAGCCAAGCCGTCACCTCAGCATGTCGCGATTTGTTCTCCTCGCCTGCGCGGCAGTGGTGCAGGGTGCCTGTGGCGCCACCCTCATCGCCTCCCACTTCGCCGGCGGCGTCTACACCTTGTCGTTCACCGGCACAAACAGCAGCGGTGCGTTGTCCATCACGTCCCAGACGAACGGCTGTGGCACCACGCCGGGCTGGCTCGAGCTGTATTCCGACACACGCAAGCTGTACTGCTTCGACGAGTCGTGGACGGGCTCGGGCCTCAGTGCCGAGTACAGCGTGGCAAACGACGGCCGTCTGTCCCTGACCGGGCAGATCAGGACGTCGGGCAATAGCGTTCACGGTACGCTGTACGGCGGAGCGGATGGTAGGGGCTTTGTGGCGACGGCCGAATAGTACGTTGCATTCCCCTGAGTGCGAGATAAGAACTCAATCAAGGACTAACAAAGAACAGTTCGCCGTCGACCATCACCACCTTCAAGATGCCCTTCTCCGCGAGCACCAAGGTGCTGCAGCTGGAGAAGTTTACCATGGCCCAAAGAGGCCCCAACCCAAGGCAGGACGTTCCCCACCCCCACGAGGTACACTTGGATCCGACGGGAAAGTTCATCCTCGTGCCGGACCTCGGCGCCGATCTCGTCCGCATCTTCAGAATCGATGCCACCAGCGGCAAGCTGACGGCCTGTCCCGAGGCCAAAGCAAACCCGGGCGACGGCCCCCGGCACATCAAGTTCTGGAAGTCTGCCAGCGGACAGGTACAGAAGGCTTACACCCTCAACGAGCTCGGCAACTCCGTGTCGGCCTGGGACGTGGCCTATCCAAGCGACTCGTCGTCCGGCTGCTTGACCCTGCAAAAGACGCAAACTCTCTCAACCTATGCGCCGGGAAAGACCGGCGGCTCAACGACCAAGGCCGCCGAGATCCGCGTCGTCGGCAACTTCCTGTACGCCTCGAACCGCGCCGACCAGACGTTCGGCTCGCAGCAGGACTCGATCGCGACCTACACCATCGACTCTGCCACAGGCGCTATTGCTTGGCTCGAGGCTGGTAATTCGTACTCGTACTACCCGCGGACCTTTCAGTTCAACAAGGCGGGGACCCTGGTGGCGGTTGGGGGGCAGACGTCATCGAACGTGGCTATCATTGCGCGGGACCCGGCGACCGGCAGGCTGGGAAAGTTGGTCGCAAACCTGCAAGTGGGCCAGAAGGGGAGGGCTGGGCAGGAGGACGGGCTGAGCGCTGTTGTTTGGGTGGAATGAGTGCAGGAGACGGCCGCAGGTTCAGGTTATCAGGTTCAAGGGTTGATTGTGAATTATGATGCTCACCTCATGCATGAGAAGCGTCCTTGAACCTGTGCTTCGTACACCCAGAAGGGAATGCAAGAAGACAGAAAATTTTGTCTTCCACATTGCCCCGGCTGATTCTAGTGCCTTAAGAGCCTTCTGCACTCTGGTCCGAGAGGGTTTGTGGTTGTCATTCAACATTCATGACATTCATTACACTGATACTCGTTGCTTGAACCCCTACCATCTCGTCTGCGTCCCGAGGGTTTCCTCAGGACCCTGCCCAGTACGTATACGCATGCTACAACGATGTCAACTCAGGCGTCCCCTCAGCTCGCCGCGAGGAGAACCTCGTCTCCACGAAGCACTTGACGAGCCCTTGCTCCCTCTTCTCTTGGAGACGGTAAGCCTTGGCAATGTCCTCGAGTTTGAAGCGGTGGGTGAGGATCATGGTTGGGTCGACGGTCCCATGTTCTACCATTTGTAGGAGATCTCCCCAGTCTAGCGAAGTCTTGATTAGCGCTGACTTGGACCATAGAGCGAGAGCCAAACTTACACTTGTGAACTGGCGCCTGGCCGCACCCAATGAGTTTAATTCCACGCTCCATGAGTGCGCCCACGTTGAAGTGATTTGTGACTGCCCAGTGCATGGCTTGTTAGCTTTGTGCAGCTACAAAAAAAAAAAGGAGGCTGCAAAGTACTCACACCCGGCGTAGTCGCCGATGATGCCGACCGTTCCAAATTTCCGTGTCGATTCCAGGCACTCGTTGATCATCTCGCTCGTGTCCTGCTCGGCCCCAACCCACAACTCGAGCTTATGGGCAAACCCCTTGGCATACTCACCGCCAGAGGCTTCAATGCTGACGTCGACACCACCTGGCACCATTTCATGGATCTTGGCGGGTAAAGTTTCACCCTTTGCAAGGGTAGAGAAGTTGATGGTCTCGAGTTTGTCGAGCTTCGACTTGGCGAACTCGATGCGCTCATTGTTGTCGATACCGATGACGCGCTTGGCCCCCTTGAGGAAGGCCCAGTAGCAGGCCATGAGCCCAATGGGACCGAGGCCCCAGATAGCGACAGTGTCGCCCTCGCGGATCCCCGTGTAGTCGACGGAGTGGTACGAGGTCGGGAGCACGTCGGCGAGGAATATGGCTAGCGTTTGTCAACGTAAGGGGACGAGGGCGACAAAGCAGACAACGCGACTCTCTCACCTTTCTCATCCGGGATCGAGTGCGGCAGCCTCATCAGGTTATTGTCGGCTAAGGGCACCCTTACATACTCGGCCTGGCCACCAGCGTAGCCGCCAGTGAAGTGGGAGTAGCCAAAGATGCCGCCCATGCGCGAGCCATAGAGCTTCTCGTGCAAAGTCGACGCATTGGTTTTCTCGCAGGCCGTTGTGAGCTTCTGCTTGCAGTACCGACACTGGCCGCAGGAAACGACGAAGCTGTTGACGACACGCTCTCCTGGTTTGAGTGTCGTGACGGCCGATCCGACCGCTTCCACGACGCCGACGAATTCATGGCCGAGAATGTCACCCTTCTCAATCTGCAGAATGACGCCGTGCATGAGATGGACGTCGCTGCCACACACGGTCGTGCCTGTTACTCTGATAATGGCGTCATGGTCCTCAACAATTCTGGGTTTGCCAGCCTCAACTGGGAACGGTCAGCATGAAAGAGTAATACTCAAGTTGAATGGTTGATGACTACGTACTAACTCGGACATCATTCTTGCCCATCCATGCCAACGCCTTCATCTTCTCGCCGCTCTCGTCGGCATACCGGCCACCCTCTCGGTCCGGATTCGAGATATCCGTGTAAGTGGCTCGGTCCTTGTTCCCATGGCCGAGAACGGTTTCGAGTTGCTTCGCTGCAATATTTTCAGCCATCGTGTCTGCAGACGTAGAGGTAAACCTGGGAGAAGACTTCTTTCGCAGTTCACAAGGTTGGTTGGATACTTGAGGTTATTCTCATTAGATCTTTGCAGACTTTCTTGCGTGACATCATGATGACGTGAGGCCACCCATGTTTCAACAACTGTTGGCAACAATCAGTTAAACCGATTTGCATCGCATTGCTGGCAACTCTTCCCGAACCCAGCCTTTGAAATCCATTTCCCAGTGCAGCTAATACCTGCGTTTGCATCCTTAGACCTGCATCTCCCGCTGTCCAGGTTCAATGCCGCGGAGCGACGACACCGCCTTGGATATTATGAAGAAACTCGGCCTCGCCACTTTAGACATTGGCCAAACTATATTGTCAGGTCCTGGTGAATGTTCAGCTAGAACCTTTATCTTATTACCTCTACGGCCATGGACATCAAGCACTTGATTGGAGCAAGTCAGGATGAGTGACAAGCTGTAAATCCGGCGGAGGCGACAGATGACTGATGTACATCTGAATCTCTGAAGTCTCCCAGTTACACGGGGCTCAATTTCTCCCTGCCCTTTATTCTTGCCGCATCCAAATCGACAACCCATCGGCGGTGAACTGGTACATCTGGACGCCGAGGTACTCTCTTCTTTTCAACTGTTCTCGGTCGGAGTCCATTATCAACTCCATGACCATACAATCCGCATACTACCGGGTAGGTACACAAGCAACCGACAATGTCTTGTATATTTACCCAGAACAGAACCAAAATCCACATCTAGCAATACTGACAAGCAGTATCCGGACATACCCATGGTTGCACGCATAATTGCACAAACTCTTGTAGGCGTCGCTGGGCCCCGGGAGCGGGCAGTCGTCGCGGCCGTTGGTCGGCGGCAGGGAGCCGGGCGCGCCGTACGACGTGCACTTGCATGGGCCAGGCGGGAAGTATCTAAAGCTGCAGGCGAAGCTGCAGAGGCCCATGAAGGTGTGTGTCTCGCCGTCGGCGTTGGTGCCGCCGTTGCAGGATTCTGTAGTTTATTGTATCCTTGGTCAGCGAGGAACGGGGGACGACGAGCTTTTTCAATCGAAAGGGACTGACATATTGCCGAGGTAGCAACCGCGAAGAGGACAAGGAGCACGGGAGGCACCATCATCTTGGGTGCAGTCGGGAGCCTACGGCCAGAGCTGGGGATGCTGGTTGTCTGGGTTGGGCGGGTACTGACCGAGGTGCTGGGCGGCTCAGACACGGTTGTTGCGCCCTGTCCGGTGTCGCGGTCGGCCCCGTTCCCGACGTTGTGACAGTCGGGTTTGCCTCGGCATAGAACTCGCCTTCAATGAGAGTGTGGTTCATCCAGACGGCCCCTCCCCCCCCCCCCCCCCCCTTCTTCCCCGGGACCCGAATTGGTTGTCTCGAACCAGAGAATTGGGCAATCTTGGGCGGCGCGGACCGCATTGGAGCTGTGCACCGACCGCCGGGACCACGCGCTGCTCGCGTAGGACCAGTAGGCCGGGAGGAGCGATGCCGGCAGCGCGGTCGTGATGCCCACCATAATGTGATTGTCGGGAAAATCGCAGTCGGCATCTTGAGAGCGGCAAGCACTGCCGAGGAAAGAAGGAAACTCAGCATTGCTGATTGCGATTGCACAAGGGATACTGATTCGAAGTTTCAGCTGTGAAGAAGGCGAGCCGATTGAAGGGCGCGATGCCTGGACGACACTGTTGCCAGAGGCGGCGGAAGAAAGGAGGTGCACAGCATTGGACGTGCTAGGATGGGAGGCTGGGCTCGTCCGTCTTGCCCAGGCCCTGGAGACGGCCAGGCATAATTTCGGGCCACTCCCCTTCCGGTGGTCTGAGAATGTCAGCCTCGTCGAGGTACATGTTGGCGAGGAAGTCGAAATAGCGGCTGATTGCGGCAACAGTCGCCTTGCGAGATTACCTGATTTCGCTGAGCTTTGGCATTAAGGTCTCGGGTGCTCCATCGTCTGAGGAAAAAGCAAAAGAGGGAGGGAGTTCGAGGATGTCGGAAAGGAACTGAGGGAACTATTAAGCTTTGTCTGCTCAGGGCGGTTACTTAAACGGGCCGCTATGCCATCCCACGGTGGACCTGTGAATCACGGCTAAGTTTCCGCTCCAATCACAGTGTGGTATATCATCCGCATGAGATGTGTTGGCTGTGAGATAGCGAGGTTAATCAGAACAAAAACGCACTGCGACATGGGCGTTACAGCATGCAGTGCACGAACGACGCAGGGCAGCGCCTCGCTTGCGCAGGTACCGTTGAGTACATGCTTCCCACACTCCGCAAGTCCGGGAGGACGAAGGATGGAGTGCTCGCACTTGGCCTGGGCCGGTGCACGTGTCGAGCGGTATTCCGACGAGAGAGGGAGGCGCAGATAGCGCCGAAGTGAGTATCCCAAAGGTACGTACGGATACCTACCTACCAAGTTCAACAAGCCTCCCAGGCTATGCCTGCTTCCTACCTGGTCAAGTCGCTTGCTGAAAAGTTGACCGCGGCCAGATGCTAATGTTGGGAGTCGGGACCAGAAAGACGATGGCGCTCAGATGGCCAGGGCTCCATAATATCCAATTGGTCTCCCTCCGCCTTGTCAAGCCTTACACACACGGTCATCCTGGCACCTACCTAAGGTACCTACCTATCTTTACCTGCGCTTAAGCCGTGTCCAAACATATTTGTCTGCCCTTTGTGAGGTATGCCTCCTATCATCCATTGTCAGCGATATGGCCAATGAAACGGGCTGTTACGGCATTGTTTATGCTGGAGCCCGGTCTCGTTCGCTCAGCCATCAATTTCGATGGCAACCCGGCCGTTACGCCTTTGGGCGACGGTGACCCTGCCCCGATCCACAGCCCCCGAACCTACGAACCAGACCAGCACGACTGTCTACTTCTATGCGTGGCCTTTGCTGACGTTCACAGCTGGACTCCATATCTGTCAGTCGACCGTTTCGCCGCTGTCAAAAGCCGATGCCCCTCCAGTTTTCTGTGACACAGCCCCTGGACGAACCAGCTTCCACCATTCTCAACCGTGGCTGCAGGCTGACATCTGGCCCGGCCTCTGAGACTAATATGTCGTCGTACTTCTCGGGGGCCATGGAGAACCCGAAGAAGTCTGAAGCTCTCTTTGATCCTCCGTTGAGTTCCGCCCCAGCCTGCGTCGCTGGCACACTCGAAGTCCAAGGCAACCTGCAAACGGCTGGCAGCATCTGCAGCGGTGGCAAAGTTGCGGCTCAAGTTGTTTCCGGCCTACTGAGAGGAATCGAGAGCTTCTTCAAATCCCCAGACAACTGCGACGAAAATTTCATGTTTGCGTGGCACAACGAGATCGGCCGCAAGAGTTTATATTGGCACACCTCTCGGCAAGCCCACCGTCCCACCGGCCATCAACGCACTGGATGGAGGACCTTGAAAGCACTTGGCCGATTTTGCCCACCCGCACCCCGCTCAGCTCTGCAGCAGTGGCCGGCAGCCGGAACGAATCTTTGGTATCGCCATCGGCACGGCAGGGGACCATGCGGCCCTCCGAAGAACGGCTCTGGCATAGAGCCAGGGCAGCTGTGCCGCCGACGGGGACATTGAAACTGCCGGAGAGCTTCAGGGATTGACCTTCTTTGAGGCGGCTGGGACAGGAGCGACACCACGTTACAACAGCAGCACCCTGAATGCCAACGGTACCTTCTCCCTAGACCACCTCTTGCGGAAGAGAATGAGCATTGGAAACTGCCATATCGACGAGAAAGCTACCTGACGCTATCTCCAGGTCGTGCCAGGGGACTCCTGTGGCACACTTCGCGATGCGGCATTTCTGCCGCCGATTTTTACCAGTAAAATTCCAAGGCCGACCTCTGCTCTACGCCGATGCCCGACCACTATGTGTGCTGCTCGGCCGGCGACCCCTACAAGCTCCAGCCACCACAGCGAGATCTGTTAGACGGGACCTGCGCTACGTACCTCGTCCAGAACGGGGACACCTGCGACGCGCTGGCCAAGCGATATCACGTCACCGCCAGCGAGCTGAAGGCGTGGAATCGTGGAAAGGCGTGGGCTGAACCGAGTGCAAAGATATGCTGCTCGGCTAGAACATGTGCATCAGCGCCGGCTTCGCCCCCTTACCTCCTCCCCAGCATGGGACCAGCTGTGGCCCCCTAGTCCCCAGCACTCAGTTTCCGCCCGACTTTGACAGGTGGAAGAACGCAATAGGCGATCTTAACCCATGTCCTCTTAAGGCGTGCTGCAGCAACTGGGGGTACTGCGGTCCGTTCCCTGAGCACTACGAGGTTCATGCGCCGGAGGGAGGCGCGCCAGGGAGCAAAGAAAAGGACTACAGGAGCACGTGCGTCTCCAACCGCCGCAGCGACATCAAGGTGAACCCACGGCCGCCCGTGGCCTTCCAGTGGGTTGGGTACTACAAATCGTACAACATGGAGCGCGAGCGTCTATGGCTCAGCGCCAAGCGGGCCAACACAGACAGTGCCGACACACACACATACTGGGCCCTTGCCGAAATCGACCCCAATGGCTGGAAGGTGGTCATCGAGGACACCTACAACCAATGGGCCGGCTTCAAGGCGCTTCATAACATGAAGCGCATTGTGGCATTTGGCGGCTGGGCCTACTGACCGAATCGGCGATATACAACATCAACCGCCAGGCCATCCTCACCAACCCGGGGAGGCCTTTGCTACCAACATTGCCAAATTCCTCAACGACGAAGGCATCGACGGCGTTGACATGGACTGGGAGTATCCTGGCCTGAGTACTAGTTATCAGTTTCAAATCCAGTATGTTCTCGTTCTGCCTCGTCGCCAACTCTGACCTAACCAAATGTTGTTTTCTCTAGGCCACCAACATCTTTGTGGATGGCAAATCCATCGGCAAAGCCCTGGACGGTAGTTATTGGGTACCTGGCCTTTTTTACTAAACTGAAAGAAAAGGTCGGACCAAGCAAGTCAGTATCCATTGCTGCACCAGCATCGTACTGGTACCTGTGAGACTTCCCAATCGAAGCCATTGCGTCGAAGATCGACTACATTGTCTACATGACCCACGACCTGTATGGCCAGTGGGACTACGGGAATGTTAACGCGTTTGACTCTTGTCTATCTGGGAAATGTATGCGCAGCCATGGTAAGAGGCAGTTGGCAGCCTGGGGGGGCAACCCATAGGCCTCGCAGTGTTGACGTCTCAAATTAACCCCTTATTACCTTAGTTAAACATGACCGAAACGCGTAACGCACTCTCTATCAGTTCGTACCTGTCACCCGAGCACCTCTTCGATGTGCGGCCCAGCCACTAATCTACAGATGGTGTACAGTAACCAAGGTAGGCGTTCCCAACAATAAGAGGTAAGGCTAATTATGGTCGGATATTTCCTATGGACTAGGATGGCTGCTGGGGGCCGATATTGACTTTACCGGGTCAAAAACACAGTGGGACGAGACCCTGGGAAGGTATACCAAGACCAGTGGCTAACTTGCGTCGGCCGAGCTTAACGAGATTATCAAGCTTTGGGAAATTGATGCCCAGACAATCTACGACCACCGGTCCAACACCACTAGCACTAGTTGCTACGGTTCGACAGGTGACAGGACGAGAAGGTACACGGAGCACGGGGTCCGGATATAAGACTTGTTCGGGAAGCGACACCATCACGTACGACATGGTCAACACGCTCATCATTTATGCATTAACCGCGACGCCAACCCAGGTCGCAAAGCACTGCAGCGGGAAATGGACACAGGAATGCTATCATTATAGCTCAGTCCTACGAGTGCATCCAGAGTGGAATACACTAATGTGTGTACCCGAGGCTGTGACGACCAAGAGGCATCGCCTGTATGGCAAGGCAACGAGGGTGTGGTCTCAGCAACATTCGGGAGGTAGATGGTTGGACCGTCAGCGTCGAGCCCACGAGCCATGTGACAGGGACGAGTACCCGCCAGTATATTTGCTTATCGACAAGTCTCCGGCAGTAGTTTACGGCGGGACGAAAGACAAGCGCGGCCAGGTGGTACGGTATATCCCTAACATGCAAAATTCGGGCTCCGGCTCGGGGTTGTTCAAGGGAGTGTGTTCTAATCCTCTTCTGAAAGGCCTGACGGATGGCGAGCTCATCAGAGCGGTGACCGCCGTACCTGGCAAAAGAAGCGTCAAGCAGGGTACCACCAAGACTACAACCTACGCCGCTCTTACAATGGACAAACTGACCGAATTCATCATCACGGACTAGGACTATGCCGCCAACCCGCTGCCCAACGACGGTCTCAATGACAACACACGCTGGCCCAGCGCCATCACGCCAAAGGCCCAGGCTTTGCGGTGTTAACCTGGGAGCCGTACTATAATGGTCAAGCCCTGCCATATACCTAAGTACACCGAACCCTACGATCCTCCGGCCAATTGCGCCTGAAATTGCAGCTTGATGAAGAAGAGTGGTGCAAAACAGGGCAAACAACGGCATGGGAGCATTAGCACTTGTGAATTTGTGGCACGTAAGTTCTTTGTGTGTGCAGTCTACCTGATGTTTCACCTTTGTGATTAGATAATCATTGTATGCCGCACCTTCATCCTCATGGCACATGGAGTCCTTCTTCATCACTTTCTTTGGTGCCTTGCCCTCTGCATACGTCCCACATGCGCCGGGTCCTTGTCCCATGTGGGGTTCCACCTAGCAAATACTCTACGTGACTGTTTAGAAGCACTTCATTGTATTGACCAATCGGCTTCCTCCCGTTGTTGCTAGGATAAGCCCAACTGCTGCCGACCTGCATCCTCTCAGTTGACCTTCGCCTGAGCCAGGGACTGGATGATGTTGGCTCCATCGAACAAACCACCTCCAGGGGCATTGGCGCGACACAACGACTTGCCGCGCTCGATGACACTGTTGTCACAAGTCAGGCTGCTCTGGGCGACGCAGCTGAGCCTGCTACCACCTGTTCGAACGGTGTCAATGATCAACGTCCAGTCCTCCAATACCTAGGTACGTAGGTAAGGTAGTTTCCTGAAAATGGACTCACAGTTGTTCCCGCCGGGGACGCAGCGGCCGGCCTGGCCGTTGGAGGCGGTGCAGGTGTCCTGCTTCAGGTTGGTGTTGGCTACGCAGCAGCTGCCGCTGGGCACGGGGCGGTTCTGGTTCTGGCGGGCCGCGAGGGTAGCGTCCTGCGGAAGGCCCGAGGCGAAGGCGGCGAGGCCGAGGACGAGGGTGGCCATGGAGAAGTGCATTCTGTCGTCTGGGTTTGGTGCAGATGGGTGGGAAAATTCAAGGTACCTAGAGTGCTGAAAAGGCCGGCCGGCGGTCGAGAAGAAGAATAGAACTGAGTGCAGGTCGTGGACTTGAAAGACTGGCTTGTAATGATCAACACCCAGATGTCAGTGGTGAATGAGGTCTTATATCCCCATCCAGGGTTACCTCAGGTATGGAGATGTTGGTTTCTCGAACAATCTGTGACGGTTTCGAGCGCGTGTTGAGACGGTGACACCCCATTCAATGCTACACCTTGTCCAAACTTGCTCGGCGCCGGGGTGCCATTTTAGGTAAGAATCAAGGGGCCTCGTCTCGAGTTTTGAGACAAGCCAGAGAATTCGTGAAGAATGTCGCTGAATCTGGACATAGACGAGCCCCTGGTTTCGCATCCCAATGCGTCGCATCTCGATCAGCTCCACACTTCTCAGTCCCGTCCTCAACTGCCGCGCCTTTGGCCATGACTTCAAGAATGCTTGTTCTCGGAGACAACTGCAGAGTATTCCGGGTTCTCCCATAGCACTGCCTCGGACCGCGGGGCAGTAATGTTCAATGGCTGGCAATGGTACCTATTATTGAGACTACACAATAAAACGAATAGCCTGCCACTACCTAGATGCATTTACTACGGCTGATGTGGATCTGTTTACCCTAACTGGTTGGGCGATCTCTGTGCAGGCGGCCTCGAATCCTTCGAGATGCACCGCCCCCTTGGAGGCACTGGTGCCTAACGGGCCAAGTACAAGACACTAGGGCTCAGCTTTGACTAAAGTTGGCAACAAAGCACTCTCTTCTCTGTCTCTATTGTGCTTTTAGCGTATCCTGCACCAATCTACAATGCAAGGAACTGTGGATATCTCCAACAGCCATGTCAGCCCGGTCCTCCGCGAGGACTCGAAACCCAGCAACCAGCCGGAAGCCCCAGGGCACGCGGAAGGGTGGTTTATCTGCGACAGTGTGTCACACACTGACAGAACGGGCCGCTCGCGCTTGATGCCGCGGCACGAGTGTCGTCACGCCTGCCAACAGTGCCAGGATTTCGACTATTGCGAGGCATGTATCGCGGATGCCGCCCTGATCCATCCCGACCACTCTTTTATTAAACATGACGCTCCTGAGGCAGCCCCGGAAGTCCAGCGAGGCGACGACACTCCTACCGAGCGCACTGAGAAACCCCGCTGCCCTTCTTGCGCCCCAGTTACCCGAGGCTTACCCCGTTTGCGGTTTGCGTTGGGCCCCGATGAACATCCTCAAACTCGCAAACAGATGTGTCTCAAATGGCCGGTGCGTCTGTCCAGCTTGATCGAGGCTGCTCAGCGTGGGTGTGCCTTCTGCTGCTTCTTCCTGTCCACCTTCTTCCGAGAATCCAACTTTGAGTCCCATTACTACACGGAAACCAGGCCCTGGTATGCGCGTCCGGCTGAGCACGACAAGGAGCGAATGGAGCTCGTTAAGCATTGCATGAGCACGCTCGCCAAGATGACCAAGGATCGGTTCGAATTCTACCTGTTCCCCATCTGTTCGAGGAAAGGAGTGGGGTTCTGGGATTTCGACAAGCTCAGGTTCCAGTTATCCAACAGCAGCTTGGAGAGCTACAGCCGGGAAGACCTACAACGGTGGAGGGTGTTCCACTCGGCGGGTGTGATCGCCACAGAGCGCTACGTGTTTGCAGCCAAGGGTAAGCGAGCCCCTCAGCCCCTATTCAAGGAGTCCCAGCCCAGACTAACAACACCACCGCCACAAGGCGACCCTGCATCCCAACACATCAGCAGCCGCCCGCCCAACCCCTCTCCGGGCTCGCCCGAGGCCATCGACCAAGTCAAAGCCTGGCTCCACGACTGCGACCTCCACCACGGCGCCGCCTGCCGCCCGCCCATCACCGGCTCATCCCTCCCCTCGCGCGTCATCGACGTCTCAGACCCAACCGGCACCCTCCGCCTGCACCCAACCACAACCATCCCCTCCTCCTTGCCCCCGAACCTACATGTAAAACCCCTCCGCTACGCAGCGCTAAGCTACTGTTGGGGCGGGCCGCAACCCTTCCAAACAACCCTCTCGACCCTCTCCGCCCGGCAGCAAGGCTCAGGCTTCCCGCTCACCTCCCTCCCGCCAACCCTCCAGGACGCAGTTCTCCTCACCCAGTGCCTCGACATCCCCTACCTCTGGGTCGACTCCCTCTGCATCGTCCAGGACTCGAGCGAGGACAAGTTCCGCGAGCTAGCCCGCATGTCCGACATCTACAAGCACGCGTACCTGACCATCACCGCGGCGCGCGCGTCGAGCGCGGGGGAGGGGTTTCTGGGTGACCGGGCGGATCCGGAGACGGGGTTGTGGAGGGCGCTTGTGCCAGTTTCTTATCGGATGTCGAATGCTCACGCGACATCGTGGGCTGAGGCGGCGGAGATGCCGCCGCCTCAGGAGGAGAGGGGGACGCTGTATTTGCTTGAGGAGCCGGCTAGCATGAGTCAGACGGTGAAGGATCCTGTCGCGGAACGTGCGTGGTGTCTTCAGGAGAGGGTGCTCTCGCCGCGGGTGGTTAGTTATGGAAGGTGGCCGATGTGGAGGTGCAGTCGGGTTGTGGGGAGCGATGGTGGGTTTGTGCCTTCCTCTGTCTCTTCGCCGGAGGAGAGGAGGTTGACGCAGGCTTTGGTGCAGACTGGGACTAGATCGGTGGTTGCTGATGGGGATCAAATTGGAAGGGACATGCGGGGTGGTGGTGGTGGTGAGCTGAACCATTTCCGCACGGCGGAGTTGCTGGAGACGTGGCGGCGGATGGTGGAGGATTACACCAAGAGGAAGCTCGCTTTCTCGACGGACCGGATGCCGGCCATTGCGGGGATTGCGCGCGAGATGGCCAGGTTAACGGGGATGGAGTACCTGGCGGGGCTGTGGAACGAGAACATGCTGCAGGACTTGATGTGGTATGCGAAGACCCAGGAGTGGATGATGAGGCCTCCTCACACCCTCGAGTATCCCCTTGCGCCGACGTGGTCTTGGGCTGCTGTGGAGGCCCCAATTTTGTGTGACGCCGTCACGGGGGATGCGACGCCTCTTGCGAAAGTCTTGCGGTGCCAAGTGCATGAAATCCAGGGCAAGTCGACGTATGATGTTATTGCTGGAGGGGAGCTGGAGATCCAAGGGCCCTTCATGGAGCTGAAGAAGGAGGATGTGGTTGAGCTCCTGCGGAAGCAGAACCTGGCTCCTGCTCCGCCCCTCAGCAATGACGTGCAGGAGTGGTACAGACAGATGCTGGACGATATGGCGACGAGGCCTGACAGAGACAAGAGGGTGTCAATCGACGATGTCGAGGCTCATCTGCCTGAAAGAGTGTTTGGGCTGATGCTCTTTGAGCGGGACTGGACCAGCAACCGGTGGGATGGGAGCAGGCCAAAGGTCGTGGAGACGTGCTATTTCGGGCTGCTGCTACAAAAGGTTCATGGCGGCAGGTACGAGAGGATTGGCTCCTTTTTCAACGACACTTCTGCGTTTCTGGATCAAAGTGTGAGCCCCTGGGGCGAGGAAACAGTCGTCTTGATCTAGTGAATGGGATGGGAGCTATTCAGGGGGCAGCCGGCTTAAAACAACTATAGGTACTGAGAAATACATGGTTAACTGGTAATCAGGACGAAAACGAAACATGCTGGTTGAAGGTATCAACCATATCACCTGAAACTAACGTTATGTACGGTACCAATATCAAGATAGACGTTTCCTGTAAGACTGTGCAATTCCGTTGGGCAACTTCCTTAACGTCTGATAGCCCACGTTGAGGCCACCACCTCACATTTCTACCGTGAATATAGACGGCTTGCCCACTTCTCCACAGTATCGTATACGCTTTGACTACCAGTTCCTAGTCCAGTACCCCTCCACGGAAGCCAAACAGGGGGTTACAAGCCCACTGGTGGACCCAGGAGGTCCAACAAGCTACTTGGAAGGCTAGAGAGGCCGAAAGAGCCTACAAACAGGCACCTGGGGACTTTTTCAAACGAAGGTTCAACCAAAGTCTCCGTACACAGTCGGCGACCATACGGCTAGCCCAGACCAACCAGATCTTACGACCCATAGCTAGAAGGCCGAGGCCCTTGCAACCAGGTTTTTCCCAAACCTACTAAACCAGGCGAAACGGGGATCCTGCAATGGGACAACAACAAATAGACGATTAATCAGGCTCGTTCATTCTCAGTCTCCTTGCTCGGGGTATACCTGGGTTTGAAAGATCCACACATCAACATCCCCCTGATTCAACCCATCCCTTCTGTATGCTACTCCCGTCCAACCCATCTAAAAAGAACACCGCCAGTGTGAAGGGACCGCTATGCCCACCGACAGCCACCAGAACCGAACACGGAAATAGAAACACTTGGCGGCGGCGATGTGGGCATGGCCGACGGCTTCGAAGACGAAATATTGCCCGTCTGGGCCTTCGTCGATCTTTAGAAAGCGCTAGACGAGAACCTTAACAGAATTGGCCATTCTTGTGGATGTTTCGTGCAATAGTCTGCAAACTAAGTTTGACTTGGACGACGCTTGGAGAAGGCATGAGGACTAAGGCGCTTGTGGAGAGGGGTTGGGTCGAAAGATGTGTGTTGGGCAGCCAACAGTTACATGCTCAAGTAAGCTTAGATCAACCAAATGGTATTGAACAGATGGAGGTATGAAACGAAGCTTGAATTGGAGTCACGATTCCAGAGTGACCACACAAATGCATCAAGATAGTGGGTTAGGGTGCCTCAGAATGTCCCTTTCTTGTTGGAACTGAAAATTGTCCTCTCTAATCCTCCCAGGGGAATTACCCCCTTATATAGAGACAGTGTGCCATGATATGACGCTATGTCAGGAACTGTGTCATTGTGATGGATCTGTGCTGACTGAGAGTCTCGCATTGAACATCAGTGCTCAGTCCGTGAATTTTGGTGCCAAGGAACCCACTCAGTTCAACAATGTGCCGACAACGCGGCGGGCGACACTGTTTGGTGAGAGCTTCGCTGCATTGTTCTGGAACCTCGGACCCAAACCGGCATAGTATATGACCAACAAATGGTCCGGTCGCGCGTTTTCTAGGAAGGAAGCCATCTGGACTCCAAGCTTAATGCTCGGATTCGAGACCGTAGGGATGGCCCATTTTTCAGTATGGTAGTGATATCGCTCGCAGAACACATTTTCCAGTGCCAGCAAGTCCAGCTCGACTGACGTGCCATTTTTTGCATCTTGTATAGTAAGTGATCCTCCGAGCTATAACTATAGTTTTTTTTTTTTTGGCTCTCCGGCGCTTACTTAATGCCTCGTTGGCCTTATAGAGCGAAGAGACCTCTGATCAAGGGAAGCCTTAGCAAGCACACCACCACCACTATCAAGCACACCGGATCAGGAATAGCGGTGTGCTTGATGTGGTGGTGGTGTGCTTGCTAAGGCTTCCCCTGATCAAACGAGAGCTATCTCCTGCATTCTAATTGGAAACGTATGCTTCGACATAAGATCCAAGTTGAACAAGCTTGCTCCCCTTTGTACCTATCATTATTATTCCTAGTCTTGCAGGTAACGCAAAGAAAGGCAATTCAAGTCTGTCAATATTAACTTGCCAAGGGCTTGCCAAGGGACGACTCGTTACTAGGCAAGAGCTTGTAGATTTCAAAATTAGACAAGGAACGGCGAGAAGATAGGCTCAAAAATAGTCCAACTCAAAAGGAATAGCATATCCTGTTTGGCTGAAGGCGAAGGAGTACGGATTACTGCAAGATAATTCTTCCAGGTATTGACAAGGCAGCGTAACGCGCGTCCCCAGGTCCTCGAGTTTGTTGTTAGGCTTCATTCACCAAACTGGTATCTTATTTCCAAAGCACATCCTATATAAGGGCCAACAACTTGCTCTCCTGCCACATACGACCATAGGCGGTAGAAAGCTCGGGATCCCGTCCGCTCTCCCCTAGATAAGCTACCGACCGCCGGATCAGTAGTTGGGTCGGTGACGACCAGCGAATCCCCGGTGTTGTATGTTTTTGTCGTTGCTGCTTTTTTTGACTCTTATCATCACGTCTTGGTGGAGCTTTGGGCCGGCTAATTTAGGGAAACAAAACAGACAGAAAGGGAGTGAATCGGGGGATGGTCGCTCCAAGGGCAGCACAGAATCCAAGGGGTAGAGGCAAAAGTAATGACGTCCACCTGGTTATCAAATCCGCCAGATTCACTCCATACAACCGTCAAGCATGGCCGGAAGCATCAGAGACCGGTCCACCATCATAGCTGGACAGGGGTAAACACTTGAGCTCGGCCACAGCCCAAGATGCGAAACGTCCAGGTTCTCCGCAAACTCACAAAGTCCCTACTACTAATGTCACGGCGATTGCGCCGTGCCTGCTAGGACCCACGGGTGGGACCCGGCATGTGGAAAGCACGGGCCCCTGTGGGTTAAATATTCTGCACCTCGCTGCCGCGAGATCTGTTCGTAGCTCCTCTAGCTACGTCTTGACAATCAAGCCTGCCCGTACCTGACGGAATTCCCGCCCATCGAGGCCAAGTTCGCCTCCACCGTCTGCGGCGCAAGCAAGCACGCCCAGGACGTCCTCGCGAAGAACGCCAACGGCGACGAGGGCGAGCACGGCCTGTCGATGGAATTCTACGCCGCGATGCGCGAGGCGAAACCGGGACCAAGAAGGTTGGGTTCACCCATTCCAGGGGGATTGTATGCCCACTCCTTTGGCTGTCTGACAACTTCACTATCTACGGTGATTGGCTACAGTTACTACAGTAGTGTGCCGCGCCAAGAAATGGGGTGGCAGAGCGGCGCAGCAATAAGCGGCTGTCATCTCGGCTGACTCGCCGGTTGGGTGGGCTACGTGCCCTGCCTGCCTTGCTTGCGAGCTTGCCTCTCTCCACCGCAAGAAAGATACTATACCTACGTCGGCTGGCCATGCTGGCAGTCACCGAATCTACCGGGCCCCGCTTATTACCTGAGGCCGTGCGGAAATCGGCAGCTACATGTACAGTTCAGCCCTTGTTTGTTTGTTAGTGCGAAACTACGGACAGGGGTTCTGGTCTCAGATTCACCATCTTCCCTCTCAACGCTCATCAGCTTACTTCAAATGCAAGAAAGTTGAAAGTTGAGAAAAGCTCTCATAGAGTTTCTCACTTAACGCATTTTTTTTCCGCATCTAAATTGGTGGTTTTGCTGTTGATTCTGAGATTTTGGTCGAGACCCTGGTCGTCAAGTCAAGACCATCTCTCCCGGTCCGGAGCAGATGATGAAAACTCAATGTTCTCTGCCCGCAGTCTCGATGGGTGAATAATGACCGCAGGATGACGAACAAACTGATCGCACTCAGCACGATAGTTGGTCAACCGCCGGACCAAATCCTCGAAGTGAGTGGTATGTTGAGGTTTGATCAGGACACAAGTCTTCCAGCCAACGAGGGTGAGGTTGTACGAGCGGAGGTTCGCATCCTCGCAATGGAAAGCGGTGCCCGATGCTTCTCCACGACATGCCCAAAGAGAGTAGAGACACCAGGGACACGGCCAGGTTGGCAGACTTCCTCGCCAGAAGGGAAAGAGATCTGAAGTCTCTCAGCGACAGACCCCGAAAGGGGGCCAACATAGTAAGGAATTGACCCCTTCGGTAGGTTCCGGTAGAGGCCTCGAGGTACTGTTCCGGGTCATCCGATGGTTTTTCCACGTTGGAGAGGTCAGGAAGTCGGAATTCATCTAGGGTATGAGTGTAAAGGTGCCAAGTGTCCCCGTCCAGTTGATGTCTCAGTTCGAGTTGTGTGTCAAGTCCCGAGCTCTGCGGAAGGCTGTACAGCGCTTGCAAGAGCTGTAGAAGAAAACCCTATATCCTCGACCACAGCTTTCCAGTGAAGTTCTCGTCCTGGATGAAGGTTTGTAGCTTCCGAATCAGATTTTCCCCCCAAGTCAGAAGGCCCAAGCGCGAAGCGTGCATTATCACAGCTAGCGCTGTTGGGAAGGGTACCTTCAGGACAGGCAGGGTAAGTGGGTGGTCTGGCGACATGATCGATCTCAACCCTAAATCGACCTCGAGAGCATGGGAGTGGTTTTCGGGCGGCGTTGCTAACAGAAGCCGAATTGGCACCAGAAGAGCCAGTGCTTAGAGAGGAGGTGGTAAGAGGAGGACCGCTGTTGGGAGTGGGAACTGTCTTGCAGGCAAGAGCTGCGTCGTCACTCGAAGGCAGAGTACAAGGAGACGCATCGTCAACGAGAGAGGGCTGGCCGTTGGTCGGAGTTTCGGAGGGCAAGGTAGCGTCAGCGCTAGCGGCCGTCATCCGAGA